TGGAGGATGAGGTCGCGTCTCAACCCGCTGTTCTAAGGCCTCAGTCTACAGGGCATTAAATATAATTAAGACAGGCACCCAGCCAGGCACACATGTACATGTGCAAGTATGCATTGCTACTTCAGCCTGTCAGATTTCTCAAGGCGCACAGCAACATCGCAAATGAAGTTAAGCTTAATTAAAGGTAAAGCTACCGTACACCATTTGCTGTTATCCAAAAAGTGACTGACGAAATTGATGTTGGAAAGCATACTTGGTTTTAATAAAGGTGGTTGTCAGACTAAACCGAGTCCCTGTCTACATTAATTGTTCTTTCTAGCAAGCTGTCACTTTGAAGAAAACAATGAAGGGTTATTTCCAATGATGCATCCAAAGAAAGAAAAAAATGTTTTAATTGTCATCAGAAGTGTGCGCAAGGGTTGACACAACATGTACAGAATAAATGGATTCAGTGCATGACATAGTGTAAATGTTACAAAGTTCACCAGACTCACCCACCCCAACCAGATGGACAGACTGAACAGCAAGAAATCCTGTGAGGCGAAGAAACCTTACATACTTGTACATGTACATGTTTCATTGCATTGCTTTGAATGGTAGAAAAGCAAAATGGCTGCCCTGTGATTGAGGTCTACAGCACTTATGCATGCATGTACAGTACATGTACATGTTCCATTACAAACTTGTGCATACATGTACATGTACCGCTATATTTAGACCAATGTGTCAGATCATGATATCTGATGGACAGGTGTGGCGACAGTGACGTGCCTTTGAAAATGCCCATAATATTCACATGCCAGCCATACTGAATTGAAAGCAACTTAACATAATGGTAAACGTACATGTACATGTATTTATTTTGGGAGCCTAAGACCCATTTCAAATGTCGGGCTTACATGTACATGTACGTTGTGTCAAATAAAATTAATATGAGTGCGAGGTTAACACGGTGTAAGCACGGCAGCGGTCTCAAACATCGAACTTACTGAGAAAAGCCCAGTCGAACTTAAATATATCAAACATGGCAGACCAGCACAACACAACACGTGATTTTAGGATCTTTCAGCCCGAGTCACAGAGAAAGTAGATTTAGCTTCAGCCAGTAGGTCCTATGGTACTTTAATTTTCAAAAACATCAAGGCCTTTTATCTCAAGGCTCAATTTTATGGATCCAGGGTGATCTTGCAGTGACATCCCAATAAACCTATCACCAAGGTGAACAATTAGATATTTGAAAGTCTTAATCTGACATTTGGACATACATGCACTGTACACACACACCGCTACACTGTTGACTGCAACACGATAAGGAGGCTCTTTAGAATTATTTTAAACCAATGTACATACTGAACCGCTGCCTAGTTCAATACAAACAGTTAAAAATGGGACAGACGTTATTGACATTTGGTGTAGTTGGCTATTGGTGTAATAGCCATATGTTATAATGGATCAGAATGTTGTAATCTGGAAACTACCAGTACATAGATGTATATGTACGTGTACAGTGCAAGTAAAATGTTAACTACTGGTATACTTATACAGTTAATGCATGGGATTAAAATGTCTGCCTAATAATTCTTCATCAAGGCCAACAGGTAACCTATGTAAAAGAAAATAAAATGCCAACGAAAATAAAATCTGCAGAAGAATAAAGGACGATAGCGTGTCTGTTCCATCAAATGGCCTTGCAGGCACAAAACATTTAAGCCAAGCCAATTCAGTGCAAGAAAATCTAATTATTGCCACATGAATACACAAGAGTTTTGAGTTGGCATTTGAATCGCAGGAGCATGTACTGGGCGTTCGACTCACTTCACTGGCTGCTTACTCAAGTATGAAACTATGGGATGTGGTTGATCTCCCCATCCCTTTCCCCAGAAAAGTGTATTGCTCCTCACTGAATGCAAATTACACATGTGTCGTACTCTTGTTGTTTATGGTCCTGATTGGTTTTTTTGGGGGGGGATCACTTTTATCATAGCTGGTTTACGCATGTACAGTTTTTTAATGTTTGTGCCTGTACAGTAGTTGCCCTTGTTTAATGAATAATTTAAGTAATCAGGGTTTTTTTTTTTAATGTTTGTGCCTGTGACTAATGTGCAGGAATGGCCAGATAAATAATAATAGCCAATTCCACAACCAGATTTCAGTCAAGTGCATAAATGTAGTGTACATGGGTGCATGTAAAGTGCACACACATGTACTTCTCTCTATGTACATGTATACATGTAAATGTATGTACCGGTACATGTACATGTACATCTCCATGTACCGTACCTCCATTGTCATGGTCCACGTGTAAGAAAAGACTTGTACTGCACAGGTACTGTGTGGTTTTAAAAAAGACAGAAATTAAAATGCAGTACACGTACTGGTACAAATGAAAGCATCAGTCTACACTGTATGAACGTATTATGAGTATTGTACCCCTCCCCCGTACATGTAGGTCTCCAGGGTAGTACTTACAGGTACGGACGTATACTTGCAACTGGGTTAATTAAGAACTACATGTACATTGTACCCGGTTATGTACAGTGTACATGTTGAAACAGCTGCTATAGCCCCAGTGAGTGTTTCTGTCCCTACATCTCAGTTCTGACTTTCCTAACAAAAGAACTTTAGCGTTCCATTAACAGCCATGGAAGGCCTGAGTACCACATACATGTACATGAACATGTGTACACATGTATGTATGTACACAGAGTGTACATGAATAAGAACTGTAAGCTTTACAACCTCTGAATACCTGCTGAGATGAGAAAAACTGGGCCAAATATTATTCAGACCGAATGAATACATGTACATGCTGGACTGGTGCCAAGGGTACATTTACATGTCTCAGATGAAATGCAGACCTATCAATGTCTGCTGCGGGCACAACTTGTGATTTGTCAGTGTCAGTGGACTGTGCTTCCCCTGGAATTGACAGGGAAAAACTCAGCTTGAGCTGTCGTTGAACCAAAAGTGAAAGTACCACCTGGTAAGTTAAACAAATATCTGAAGCATGAAAACATCATTACGGCAAATCAACAAGGAGAATGAAATGCCATAACAAGAAACTTACAACTACAATAGCAGGGCCAGGAATCAATGAAAATAGGAGACCTTGTCAGCACGACCAATAATTGCACAAATTTCTGATAAGATGAAAATAACATACACCCATGTACCTCCCAAAAATATTAGAATCCCAACAATATGTACTGTGGACGACTATACACTGGTATAGTACATCGGGCGCAAGCTTATATTCCCTTACACTGGGGCCAATTTCATGATGCTGCTTAAGCGCAAAAATTTGCTTACGAGCAAAAAACCTTTCTGAAAAAAACAAGGGTTATCACCTCAAGATCTATTTGATTGTCATGCTAACCAAACGACGGATGAATACATTCCAAAACAATATACATCACATGGAGTTTTGGCTGGTAACCTGGTCTGTCAAGCAAGGTTTTTCATGCTTAATCAAATTTTGTGCTAAAGCAGATCTATGAAATTGGCCCCTGGACAACATTATGGAGGACAAAAAGTGGCCACCTGCTTGTCTGCTATCAGAATAGTAGAAAAACAGATTTTACGTCTTTGTGACATGCAATTTTTTTACTTTTCTATTTTTCTACGACCTCAAAAGCAGAATGCTCATTTTATTGTAATGCATTTCTCCACTTTTCTGCTACTACAAAAGTAGTTTTACTTTTCCTCTTTTTGATGGCGGCCGAAAAGATTTTGTAGGTTACGACCATTTCCGTTTTGGGGGAATGAAGATGTACAGAAACCAAAACTTTCCTTTCTGCCGACCAATCCCATACGGCATTATCAGTGTCCCCGTGAGGCAGAGAAAACAGCATCTCAAAGGAAATGCAGTTTTTATAGATATCATCCAATCGATACATGTATGTGCTTAGGCAAAGGAAAACATGTGAATCTTTTATTAAAGACTGGACTGTAATTATTGATTTATACCTCTTTTATCCCAAGGAACGGAAATGGTCATGACTGAGGTCCACAACCCCGTTTACGGCCCTTGGAAGGTAGAAAGCAGATGGCCACTTTTCGGCCACCTACATGTATGTACATTTGCTCCTCCAGTATAAAAAACAAGCAAACAAGTAGAATTTACGGTTGTTGTCAAAATGTTCGATCCTCATTTCTGCCTGATTGAAAGGAAAAAAACAGCTGGCTGTTTTTCGGCCGCCAGCAACGAAGAAAAAGTAAAATCTGCTTTTCTTGAAGCAGAAAAGCAGTAAATAGAAAAATGCATAACCAAGCAATGTTTGTTCTGCTTTTTTGAGGGAGCAGAAAAGTATAGAAAACTTGAAAAGTTTGCATGTGTTTGCTTTTCTACCATTCAGATAGCAGAAAAGCAGATGGCCACTTTTCGTCCTCCATACAATATGCTCTTCAGCCAAACAATCAATCAGTGCTTCTTTGAGGGGACTCCGTCAGCAGCTGGACAAAGGCAATGAGAAAACACAACAAACAACTCCTCTGACGGAAATGTGCCCTTCAACTGTTTATGAGCACACTGACATTGCAAAATGCACGTACATAAACCAGTGCAGTTGTGGAAGTATCCTTTTTTGTGCGTGCTCAAAATGCCGTGCAAAGGAGTTACCCCTGGCATTTGCGAGGGGGCCTGCATGTACATCTAGGTCTTGAAACGAACAAAAACATATAGAAATTGTAGGAGTTAGATTTATTCGATAAAGTCAAAGATGTCCACACATGTACCGGTAAAATGTGAACTACATGTAAAAGGATATTTCTGCCCTACCAAATGCACAACAAAATACAATGTCAAGTACTTATGTGCCAAAAGCATTTGTATTTTTTTCAGAAGTCAGCAAACATGATTAAGGTACACACATGACAAGTACATCCCAAAATAAGACCAAAGCAACTATATTACTTCAATTTATTTTTCTCACTGTGCATGTACTGTTCAGTACATACATGTACATGTCCGAGTAAACTCCAAGACTTCTGTCGTCGCATACCTTTTACTGCCCACAAGCTTTGTCCTCCTCCTTCTGGGGTGTTCTTTCCTTCAAGAAAAGGGAATGCCCTCCTGAAATCGGAAATTTCTGTTTGGAAGGGAAAAAAAGGAGACTGCTGAAAGGCCACAGTTGATGATCAACAGGAAAATGGACAAAATGGAACTTATTTTGGCAAGGAACTCCATCATGTTTTATGATTGAAAGCAAAGGTCTTTGAATTCTTGTTAGGAAAGAAAAGACAAAAACATGACGATGGAAAACAATCACCTCAAACAGAAACATTTTATGAAACAAATGTTCACCAAGGCACATCACTGTATGAAGTGGCTTCCCACAAATTTGGAATTTACCAAAGAGCACAATGTGCCTCCCAAAACGTACAAGAGACACTGCATTCGAAAAATGATTTCAGATGTTCAGCTCTGAAGAGAGTTTGCCTCAATCACTGTCAATAATGTGTGATAAGAATGAAGTGTTTATTTTAATAAAATCCTATCAGTCTGACAGACCACACCATGCCAGAGGCTGTAATGTTATCAAGAGACACAGTAACTGTGACCACAAGCCTGAATACCCGTACATGAGCCTCAGCAATTCTATTTGTCTATGTACTGCATCAATCTGAAGGTACATGTAAAAAGACACAAGCTTCCATTACATGTAAAGGTTCCATTTGGGTAGTTTTTGATGTGTGGTAATTCATACCAGCTATACCACTATCTAACTAGTACTACACATGTACATGTTACTAACTGGTATACATGTACAATACATGTAGGGGTGCAGTAACGGTACCGGTATGTGTCCACACCACTTGTAGTGATAATATTCAAATACAATAAACCCCCTGGTGCCCAAACCAGACATGCAAACCCTTCATACCCCAAGTACATTGTACATGTGCGGTAGGGTTAGCCTACACGCACAAGTATGTAAATAGGTCTATTTCTATGCTGTGTGCTGAAGAAAAATTCCTTTTAGTGTAAGGTGCCAGTACGGTGCCGTACATGTACAGTGTACATGTACCGGTACGTACCGGTACATGATTATCACATGTACATGCACATGTACCGGCACTGGTTTTGTACATGTACTGCACATCACAGCACATGTATGTACATGTGTACATACATGTCCATCAAAATATGGTACGTAATAAATACCTGTTATCTACAAGTACCCGTACATGTAATTCTATCAACACAAAACAAAAATAGGGGCCTACTGATACATGTAGAGGAGCCACATTTACCATTCGAATACATGTATGTACGTGTAAATGTATACCTGCCACACAGTATCCGTTGCTGGCATCAAATACAAAGTGTTTATAATCAGAGGTGGATTTAGGCTCATTAAAGTACAGAATTAAAGGGACAGAAGGGGTCGTCAGGCCCTGTGCACTCCACTGTATTCCTGTGGTTTAATGAATCTATGGTATACAGATCTATCCTTGGTACATGTAATAAACAGTATACCCAAAGACACTGTATCCTGTTCTGATTAAAAAGTGTACATGTATCTCATACATGTAGTTAAAAACATCAGACATTATATCAACTCGAAGAATATTTAAAAGGATTAAATATTTCAGAAAGACTTGTACCGTATCGCACGCTAAATTCTTTTTTTTTTCAAGAACATAAATTTCCATGAATACATGTACATGTACATGCACAGTAATGTACATGTACCACTTCTCTGTTTAAGTACTGCAATGTGCCATACTTGCCTTTTCAAATGAATGCACAATTCTTGGGAAAATCCAACTAGTCTGAAAGTCCACTTTGAAATGGAAGCCTCTTGTATGTGACGAATAAAAATAGGCTAGTCGTGACTGTGCATAAGGCATTCCAGTACCTCAGGCTGCAAGTTCCATTCCAACCAGGACTACATGTATTCATTTAAAAACAATTTACTTCAGAGTAGGCAGCAACAGGAAGTGGTAAAAAAAATAGGCCTACCTTATACCCACAGTGACCTCAGAATGCAGAGTGCTGCAGTCGATTTCACAATGTGGTTAAGTTCTGTGATCACTGTCACTCCAAAGTATTGGGACAGGGATAATCTGATTGTCCACAATGTCATAAATGCCTGTGTGGTGTTTGTGTGCATGGCATGATGACATCACACATTAACTATGCATTAATCATGTACTGTACATACCTGTATGAGCAAAGGCACTGATATTTCTAGTGGGAAGTCCCTTTGCAAACGATTTTCGATTTCATCAAGCTGTTAGGGATGTACCTTTCATGCGCAATCAGTAAAAACAACACTAGAGAGGTTCACACATGAGATGGGACCATGGCCAAACTATACACAGAGTAATGTAAATTGTGTTTGGTTTATAAATGGAAGCTATACTTAGTGCATGTGTATGATACATATGTATGTACCGCTAACCAGTACACGTAAATATGTACACGTAATGATGTACGGTACATGTATGTAAAATTACTGTCAAGTCAGATATTGATGGGGTACAATGTACAGGACATGTGTATCTGTTCAAACTCACCAGCAGGCAGTGTCAAACATAGAACTGGGAGTCACCTACATGTACTAGTGGTCCAGCAGTAGCCTGGACTCACCATGCACCGACTTACAGCATGCCCACAGACAGTGACAAACAGAAATTTACAGTGCATGTACTCCTCTTTGCTCTGTGATATTACAAGATCTTGCTTGGTGACCCATCCAGAATATGGGAATGTACATGTACATGTATACCAGGTAATTACCCTCCCCCACATGCCCTAGTGGAATTCTCTAATGGGCCTGATTTACGAGACTTTGGGGGGCCCTTGTTATATTCTCTCCAGCCAAAGTGCTACTCTACAGTCACAATCTTTCGCTCATCATTTAATGACAGCTGGACAATCTCCCCACAGAACACTGCTGATTGATGAAAGACAAAGCAAACAAGTAGAATAAAAACTTCCAGGACTGGGAGAAACCCATACTGTATATGACGTGCAATGTGTCAACACAAACTTCAGAAAAGTTCTCTTCTTTCAGGTTTACATTCAAATTGAAATTTGGGTGTTGATCAGGGGAGCTGAATATCAAATGTTATCCGTGCGATGCAAATTTTGACCACCCTGAGTGAAGTCCACCCTCACTGGGAAAGAAAAGACAGGCTGTTGGGAAGTCTTTCAACCGGCCTCATGCAGCATACCAGTACATTCTAACATCAATTGGTCTTAACGCACGTGCTAAGTGCACGCTGCGCAAAATGTGCATAAACCTGCATGCACATGGGCCCACTGTTTCTAGGTACATGTAATAACAACACCTTCCTTTGTTTCCCTCAGAATGGATAAGGTTTGGTACATGTACCAAAACGTCTCTGATTATCTAAAACTGAATTGAACCCTCGCTTGTTACTGTGACTGAAAATATACAGGGCCCTGAATAAAGTATATTTTAAAGAAATTAAGTTCAATCTAATTCAGCATTTCAACTTCATCATAACAACAGAAGTGTCTCCGTCACTGTTGCGGTGAACCAGTTTACATGTATGTGTATGTTTTTGTGCAGACCTGAAAAATGACTCTACCAGTACATGTACATTGTAAGTTATCCACTTCACAGGTTTGTGTACTAAGTACATGTACAAAGTAACACGTTTGCTTTACAGCATTCAGGAGGATACAAAAATGTGGGTTGGTACAGTGCATACATGGACATGTACATGCATACACCTTCACAATGGTATGGTCTGCCACACTCAGTCCTGCAAAAGTGATTGTAACGAGGCCCGACAACACTGTCGAATTACTGCACCGGTACATTGTACATGTACATGTACATATTCCAACTCCAGAAATAGAATAGTCATACCCGTACATGTAGTTGTAACACAATCCAATAAGATAATTAATTTTAACAGTACTACCTGTACATGTACAGGTACATGTATACACGTACAGGTACATGTATACATGTACATTGTACCTTAACATACACATGTACATGTACCTTTAAGCCGTGATGATACATCTAGTAGGCACTAAATGTACATTACTTTTGCATGATTTAAAATGTCAGATCTGCGGCATTTACCAATTTCAAGCAATTCACTCATAAACATGGGAATGAGATACTGTACCCCAGTACTTACAAGTTACAAGTACCTGTAGAACAAGAAGCTGAGATGAACGATGCCTGCAGGCTACACTGTCATAAACAAACCAGTCGCTTGGCTACATGTATGTATGTATATGTACCCCAGTATATTCTTCAGGGATGACTCTCCACTAGTTGGTTGAGGATCTGCTAAAAAATGACAGGCCAAATGAACACTGCAGGAGTCATCAATCATGCACTGATAGGGTTATAAGAGAGCACATGTGTCACTCAGTTCCAAGGGAAGGAAAGCTACCAGTACCAGTACATGTACATGTACAGTGCATGTACGGCGTAAGTACTGTAACCAAACAGCACAATCTACTGGTACATATAAACCGGTACATACATGTATAAACTGTACTCAAGGTAATGATACACCTGTGAAAAATCTGTCCTTGGGCTACAAATCTACTTGGAATATTTAGGATTTGTACCATACATGTACAGTTCATATGTACACATGTACAGAGTACCACACAAGTCTACTGTTCCTTGCTGTAGCGGTACATGTACATACATGCACATGTGCATGTATGATTGTACAAAGCTCAAGGCACCAGACAGGTGCATGGGCTGTGCCCTCCAATTAATTCACTGGCACTCTCACTTCATGCCCCAATCTTGAGGTCAGGTCATCCAAAGCTGTGGGCAGACAACTGCTGCCAGCAACCCACTCAACCACAAGGCCCAGAACATTCCTGGGGCAAGAGTCATGCACTGACTGTGACTTCCATGTGAGGGGAAAAATTAACATTTTTTGCAAGGGACAGATGGTTCTGAACATTAGAGAGGCTCCAATAGGCTCCAGTATGTTCCCCACAAAATGTGCATGTGTGTGTCTGAAAAACATTTGTGTACTGTACGGAAGGCCTATTGTGTGTTTTCTTTTTTTTTTAGAACAGACATACATGTGAACAATGCCAGGCAATGCTGAATATATTAAAATAAATGGT